TGAATTCAAAAAAAAAAAAAAAAATTCTAAAAGAAAAAGGATTCGGTTCGATTTTTTTTCAATTATAAATAAAAACATTTTTAGGTATTTTCGAGTGTGTGTGTGTGTGTGGAAAGTGTTGTTTTCGTTGCACTAAAAGGAAAAAGTTCTCCCCCGATTATTATTATTATTATTACTCTTTGGTTTTCCCAATTAAGTCATAAATAAGGTTCCCCATCTTTTTTTTTTTGTAATGGTGATGTTTATAGGGATGTTTAAAATCCTCGATCGAATTTGAATTCTTTTAGGAAAATATTTTAAGGGTGGATTTAACGGTCAGCCTATTTTTTTGTTATCTAAGGTTAAGTTGCAAAAAAGGTAGAAATGGGTTGAAATTGTTTTTTTTTTTTAAAGGAAAAGCGTTTTCATCCTTTCAGTTTAGAATTATCATTTATTTATAACAATTAATTGTGACAAATTGATTTTTGAATAAAGTGAGGTTTAAAATTGTTATAATTTGTATATTTCGAACGAGGGAAAATTAGTCATGATGTAGAATTCTGTAATATTTCAAAAATTAGAAAGAAAGAAAGAAAGAAAGAAAAGAAAAATTTTTTATTTCGTTTTCACGCCATTGTCAAAATTTATTTTTAAAACGGAAGAAGAAAAAAAAAAGAAGAAAAAAAAAAGAAAAAAAAAATTAAATTACTTTTTTTTTTTAAATAATGAGAACCGGCTTTTAATTTGTTCGTATGTGTGTGCGTGTGTGTACATATCTTTCTTTTGCAAAAGATTATTTCAGGGAGCCAGGGAAATATGTATAAAAAATTTTAGATTCGGTCAAATTTAATATATTTAGATTTAGGAGGATGAGGAGGAGGACGAGTGCCAAATTTCTAGGATGTTGTTAAAAAAAAAAAAAAAAAAAAAAAAAAAAAAGAAAAAATTTTTTTTTTTTTTTTTTTATAAAAAGGCCATGTGAGATTATTTCATTTTTTTTTTTCGGGGGGGGAGGGGAGGGGAGGGGATTCATTCTCACAGCATCTCCGTATAATTATCGGAGAATAAAATGCAATGAACGTGTTTAAACGTACTTGACTACGTCCATTTTGTCTGTAGTGGATTTTCATTCTAGAGAGTTTTTAAAATAAATGACCTTTGTATCGTTCGTATATTTAAAACGGTCGGACCACAGAATTAAATAATAATAATAATAATAATAAATTTTCTACAGAAAAAGTTAAATTTACCGAGACAGAGAGAGAGAGAGAGAAAATTTAAACAACGTCAGGTGTATAATTAAGTTTGACTCCATTTTAATTTTTTTTTGACACCCTTGATAAGATATTAATTGATCAAAAGAGAAAAAAAAATTTTGTTGTTTTCGAAACATTAGCACATTTTTCTAAATGAAAATTTCAATGTGAAAAAAAAAAAGCTTTCGTCTGAGCTTTTTGAGGGGGGGACAAAAAAAAAAAAAGAAAAAAAAAAAAGCGAAAACCCTTGAAAATTTTTTTCTATTTTTTGTTTTCAAGTTCGAGTCGTCATAGAATAATTTAAATTGAAATTTTTTTTCTTTCTTTCTTTCTTTATTTTTTCTCAAGGGAATTTGCTGTTGTTTAATAAAATTATTGAAATACGAAAGAAAATTATTATTATTATTATTATTAGCAAGTGAAAGATTTTTTCGTCGTCGTTTGGATATTTTAATTTTATGTTTTCCAATATGGCATTTCGAAAGCATTGTAAGTATATATTTTTTTATAAAAAACGATTTTTCCTGTTGTTCGCGCTTTTCTTTTCTTTTCTTTTCTTTTCCAACTGTAATGTTATGTGCTGTACATTTGTGTGCCACGTGTTTTATATTTTTAATAATTTGTAATTATTAAAAACCGACGACGTTTTGTTTTTTATCCACGTGTATCCACGTGTGTGGATATTCGTGTGAACTTAAATTTTTCGTGCATGGAATTTTTTTTTTTTTTTATTTTAATTTTAATTTTAACCGCAGACTTGATGATTGACTTTACTTAAATTATTTTATATATAAAAATAGTTTTTGTCATAACATAAGGAAAATTTTTTTTTTTGTTGAAAATTCGTGGCGAATTATAAACTTTTGAGAGTTTCGAATCTCTGGTGTGTGACACGTACACGTAGCCCGTGATTATTTTTTCGTCGAACGTGAAAATATTTTCAATAAAAAAAAAATTTCATCGCGAAATTTCCTTTGAGTGATGAATCGATCGATCGATCGATCAATCGATTGATTTTTTCCGATTCGGCAAAAAAAAGACGGTTAAAAACTGTTACGAGTGAATTTTTTTTACGTGTTTGAAAAGGGGAGAAAGGTTGAGGGGAGTATCGTTGCTTTAAAAATTTTTTTTTTCTTTCTCTTTGGATACCTCCTAATAATAATTAATAAATAAATAAATA